TCACTGAAAAAACAATAAAATTAGTTATATCCACTACGTTTTCAACTTCACAATATTTTTAACTTAAAAAAAAAAAAAAAAAAAAAACCACGCTATTATCGGTCAACAGCTATTGTTGACCGTCAAATAAGGCGCTAATCCATTAGGCTTGACGTTTTGGGCTCATCTCACCCTGGCGTTTTAGAACACTGCTCTTGACAGTTGAGGTAAGATACAGTTAAATCCTCATCAAAACAATTTTCTCCATTGCTGCTACAATCTCGACTTATGAAACTAATTTAATGAATACTCTACACTCTCCCGTCAAAAACTCCCTTCAACAAGCACAATGTCTCACATTTCCAACCACTATTGTTCGCTACTGAAACAGTGCTGCGAAACTCGTAATTTACACCAAGCGAAAAAGATACATGCAATCATAGTCAAAACCGTAGCAAACCCAGAAACCTTTTTGCTCAACAACCTCATAAATGCGTACTATAATTTGAAGAGAATTACATATGCACGCAATGTGTTCGATCAAATACCCAGACCAAACCTCTTTTCGTGGAACACCATTCTCTCTGCTTACTCGAAATCTGGAGATGTTGTAAAAATGCGAGAAATATTTAATTTGTTTCCCATGAAAGACGGGGTTTCTTGGAACTTGATTATATCGGGGTACGTGAATTCTGGATTGAGTGATAAGGCTTTGGAGGCCTATAAGTTGATGTTAAGAAATGGGTTGGTGAACTTGAATAGAATTACGCTTTCCACTATGATTATAATGTTGTCAAACAATGGTTGGGTTGATTTGGGGAGGGGAATTCATGGGCAAATAGTGAAATGCGGGTTTCAATCATATGTTTTTGTGGGAAGTCCTTTAGTGGACATGTATGCTAAATGTGGTTTGATATGCGAGGCAGAACGCGTATTTGATGAGTTACCTGAGAGGAATTTGGTTATGTATAATAGGATGATTATGGGTTTTATGAGGTGTGGGATGGTGGGAGAGTCTGAGCATTTGTTTAGGAGTATGCCTGAGAAGGACTCAATTACTTGGACTACAATGATTACGGGGCTAACTCAGAATGGGTTGTCAAAAGAAGCAGTGGATCTGTTTCGTCAAATGAGGTTTAAAGACTTCGATATGGATCAGTTTACTTTTGGGAGCATCTTGACCGCTTGTGGAGGTCTTGTGGCGTTGAGAGAAGGCAATCAGATTCACGCTTATATAATTAAAACTGATTATGTGGAAAATATTTTTGTTGGCAGTTCCCTTGTTGATATGTACTCTAAGTGTAGAAGGATTAAATATGCAGAAACAGTTTTTAGGAGGATGATGCACAAAAACATTGTATCTTGGACTGCCATTGTAGTCGGTTATGGCCAGAATGGGTACAGTGAGGAAGCTGTTCGAATTTTTTGCGAAATGCAGAGAGATGGGATTCGGCCAGATGATTTTACTCTAGGAAGTGTGATTAGCTCTTGTGCTAATCTTGCTTCCTTGGAAGAGGGAGCCCAGTTTCATGGTCGAGCACTAGTTTCAGGCTTAATTTCCTTCATTACGGTTTCTAATTCACTTGTAACACTGTATGGGAAATGTGGCAGCATAAAAGACTCTCATAGTTTGTTTAATGAGATGAAGTATAGGGATGAAGTGTCTTGGAGTGCATTAGTTTCAGGCTATGCAAAATTTGGAAAAGCAAGAGAAACAATTAGTTTATTTGAGGAAATGTTAGCTCATGGTCTAAAACCTGATGGAGTTATGTTTATTGGTGTTCTTTCTGCTTGCAGTAGGGCTGGACTTGTGGAGCAAGGTTGTCAATATTTTGCATCAATGACAGAACAATATGGAATTATGCCAATTCTTGATCACTACACTTGCATGATAGATCTATATAGTCGTGCTGGACAATTGGAAGAAGCAAGAACATTCATACTCAAAATGCCTTGTCGTCCTGATGCAATTGGTTGGGCTACATTACTAAGCTCATGTAGAAATCGTGGTAACCTGGAAATAGGGAAATGGGCAGCAGAATGTCTTCTGGAATTGGATCCTCAAAATCCTGCTGGCTATGTATTGCTTGCTAGCATGTATGCTGCTAAAGGGAAATGGGATCAGGTGTCTCAGCTAAGAAGAGGAATGAGAGATAAGGGTGTGAAAAAGGAACCTGGATTTAGTTGGATCAAGTATAAGAACGTACTACACGTTTTCTCAGCTGATGACAAGTCAAATCCATTTTCGGATCAGATATATGAAGAGATGGAGAAATTAAACTATAAAATGATAAAGGAGGGATATGTGCCAAACACAAGTTCTGTTCTGCATGATGTTGAAGAATCAGAGAAAACAAAGATGCTGAACTACCATAGTGAAAAACTGGCTATTGCATTTGGTTTAATTTTTATTCCTCCCGGTTTGCCTATAAAAGTGGTAAAAAATCTCCGTGTATGTGTGGACTGCCATAATGCAACTAAAATAATTTCGAAGATCACCAGCAGAGAGATTCTCGTAAGAGATGCTGTACGTTTCCATTTATTTAAAGATGGAATATGTTCTTGTGGAGATTTCTGGTAATGGGTTTTATTGGCATTTAAATGATATCAGGAAGGACACTGAAACCTTCAAAGATATCATGCAAATGGCCAAAGCCATAATTTTGTACACCTTTCTGAATATAAGTTAGGTCATTTGCCAGCAAAATTCAATCAATTTCTCATGAAAGATTATCAGATTACTAGAGAAAACCAGTGGCTTGGTGTCTCTTAAAGCAATACTGAGCTGCTCGTCCATCAACTTGTATGAAGATTCTAACTAGCCACACTATTGAGGTTTCTTCTAGACAAGGTATGATTTCTATTTGCTCAAACTCATACTAACACAATGAGGGAGAAATAGTATTCTTTCTGCAGAGATGTAAATCGGTGCCTGTGTTGCTTGAAGCTTCTGCAACATCAAACTGAACGAAACTACTTAGTCTGTTAACCGAATTTCTAAGATTTATCATTAGTCATAATGATGTTGAAGCATATTGAACACCAGGCATTTCATACGTCATTTTTTTTTGTTCAACATAAATCATGCTATAACTTTTGTAAATGCAACATTGATCATTCTGCAGTTACTATTAGTGTTGTTTTATCATAGGACTGTAATTTGTTTATTTAGCTCTTTTATTACCTTAAGAAGTTGAATGCAAAATAATTTTTTCTTTCTACTGTAAGAAAAAATATCATCTCCTGATTGACTAGCTGCAAACTTTTAAGTCATTTTAGTTTCCACAGATGGAAACTGACGTAGATGCCATTTTATGAACCTTTATCTTTTGAATTTTTAATGTTGTTCGAACAATCTAGGATATGGTGCATTTGCCTGCCTATAGACGAACATTTAATAGTTAGTTTTACTTCCCTAATAGAACAGTATAATTAACATATTCATTCACCTTTCTCGAGCTTGAACATGACTGATAAAATAAACAAATCATACGTCCTTCTGATACAACTCTATAATTTATATTAAGAAGAAGAAACTCATACAACAAATGAAGTATGTGATTGCTTATTGGTATATTGTTCCGGTAGTTACAAAGAGTTTGTGAACTTGAATGTTGGAGTGAGTATGATATTATAAAAAGTAAAAACAGAAGCCAAATTACTCTCTTCTTTGTAGACTCCAACTTACTTTACTGTTGATTCTCCATGAGCATGAAAGATGGCTCAGTATGATTGTAAGACATGTCCTTTCTTCAATGTTTAAGGCATTAGAAAACTACCTGGAAACGTGTACAGAATTTTACGGCTTCAGCAAGCGGTGCCCAATCACCGAAGTTTCTCTCAATGAACTGGTAAGCAATGCCACTCTTTCCTTTACCAATTATAAGAAGTCCACCCTTTACCTCACCTTCACCCTTGAAATGTTGGTCTATTCCCATGGCCTTTGCTCGCTTATAATTTGCAATTGCTTTAGGGTTGAATAGGAAACCCGATACAAACTTGTCTTTCAGTAGCTTCCCCCCACCTAGGGCTTTGAAAAACTCCATGCCTTTGTCAAAGAGCACGATGTCACCCCAGTATTTTGGCCAGGAGTCTTTCACTGAAACCATTAAATGATATGATTGCGCATTCATTAGCCAGTTACAACGCATGATCATGTGAGTTGAAAAATATACCTCAGATTTCATATGCTCATGAAGTACTACAAATATTTGGACCCTGAGTGCATCAAATACTGGTTTCTTGGAATATAGTTGGTTGGCTTCAGCTCTGCACATGAAATTCTAGATTTGTTGGAAGCACAGTTGACAATGTAAGTTGATGTCAAGTGCAGTATATTCATAAAATGATACCCGGGTCGACGGATGCAGAGGAGTATAGCTGGTTTCTCACACCATAATTCTGAAGCCTTCATTGGAGGTGTTCTAGTTTTCACCAGACGCTCCGCTCCACTCCTATCTTATATTCTTGAGTTAGTTTTTGAATCGAGATATTCTTAATCGCGGAATGAGGGGCTACATTCTCAACTATTTCATGAGGTTGTACACATCCACATGCTCTAGGTTCTGCAGGCATTGCAGTAACAATTCCCTTATGGGCATGCCCGTCTTTGATCTTATAACTGGCCATGGATTGCTCTAGGGATAAATCATTAGCTGCAATGCTTCTTCCATGGATTTGATCACAGTTTACTTGAACTAAAAGATGAAAGCTCACTTGTATACATGCTATTAATTCTTAAAGGAATGGTGCTTCTCTTTCTTGCTGGGAGAGAATATGATGCTGGTAAAGGTTCTTTACCACATGCACTGGTTCAGTCCATGAAATGAGCAATATGGCCCCTTTTCATTCCCAACTGAGAAGAAAGATCCATGGTTGACAAGCTGAGAAGCTCAGGAAGACATTTCTCCGAGGACTCCAGGTTATCTGCAAACTGCACCAGCCCCCCTCGATCATGCAGGTATAACCTAATTTCAAGTGCATCCTTGGATAGGACAAAGATGCAATCTTCAGAATGATGATTAATCATGATATAAGATTTGCAAATCGACAAATAAAGAG